CTCCGGGAATTTTATCTTACCTTGAAATGTCCTGGAAAACTCCAGGAAACCACCCAAACCTCCGGGACTCCGGAGCCCGGTCATCGGAATCGTCAGCTAACCGAAACGCTACCGCTTTTGTTGCCGCGATCGCGGGAAACGATTATCGGTGTTCCCGAAACCGCAAGATATGCCTACGGGTGTTGCCGCGATCGCGGGAGACGATTATCGGTGTCGCCGAAACCACGAGATATGCCTACGGGTGTTACCGCGATCGCGGGAGACGATTATCGGTGTCGCCGAAACCACGAGATATGCCTACGGATGTTACCACGATCGCGGGAGACGATTATCGGTGTCGCCGAAACCGCGAGAAATGCCTACGGGTGTTACCGCGATCGCGGGAGACGATTATCGGTGTCGCCGAAACCGCGAGATAAGCCTACGGATGTTACCACGATCGCGGGAGACGGTTATCGGTGTCGCCGAAACCGCGAGATTTCTTCACGGGTATTGCCGCGATCGCGAGAGACGATTATCAGTGTAGTCGAAACCGCAAGATATGCTCTCACGGGTATTGTCGTGATCGCGAGAGACGATTATCGGTGTCGCCGAAAGTGCGAGATATGCCTATGGGTGTTGCCGCAATCGCGGGAAAATATTACCGAAACCGCAAAGTTAGCTCACGGGTGTTGCCGTGATTGCGGGAAACAATTACCAGTGTTGTCTAAATCGCAAATTATGCACACGGGTGTTGCCGTGATCGTTGACGCTGTGACGTTTTGTCGCTGGTGTTGATACTGCAAGATATGCTCACTGGTATTCATCCGATCGCGGGAGATGATAACTGGTGTCGCCTTACCTACCAGTTGTACTGTTTTATTATGTTGTTCAAAATATTATTCTTTGGAAATGTTTTGTTTCAAATAATAATAATCATTAATAATAATCATCATCATCATTAATAAAAATAATAAGCATTAATAATAGTAATAATAATAATTTATAATAATAATAAATTATTATTAGCGGGTTGCGATTAGTTAAACGGATTCCGATAGTAGCTCTTAAAATTCAGGGATTTGTCTTGAATTCTCCTGGAAAACTCCTTGAATTTTTCAAACCAGGTTTAGTAGACACCATGTTCTTCTTCTTCTCAACTGATCCGATCCTGTTTCCAGCAAACATTGATGCATTCTAGTAAACAACTGAGTACTGGGGGTGTTGCGATCAGGATACCGAGCCTGGTATTCTCTCTGAGTAGCCGACGCATTACCATTACACAAACCATAAATAAAATGCATTTCAACTCACTCCCGAATCGAAAAAGACATAGTTGACTGATCACTGTCCACATGTGACTGGTCGATTTTTAAAAATATGACTACGCTTTGTTGTCTCATTGCTTAGATAAAGTATTGTTATCAGTAAAATACCTGAATCTATTGACAAAGTCCATTCAACAAATTAGAAATTCCAGGAGTTGATTGGAATCTTATCTGAAATATGAAAAATATTTGATAACCTTAACTTTTTATACAAAACCTTTTTACTGTTACATGTTCTTAGGTTAAACTTGATAAATATAAACAAAGTGTTGCACGCGAGAAAAATTCCCAATTATTAGTTGCCTGCACTTAAGTGTATTATTCTTCATAATAGCTTTTTTTAGCCCTACCATGTTTTTTTCACAATATTGACATGATAATTACATTAGGAAATTTTCCATCAGGTAAATACATCATTGTAAAGCCCTTTAAATGAGGAAGTTTTCAGCTTCCAAAATTAAAGATAATGTTCTAAATAACTAAATCAGTATAGAAGAATTTTCTATATTACACTTTTTATTTTTCAATTGATCCGTTCCCTCATGTCAACACATGTATATTCACAATATTGAATTTAGTGAATTATGTAATTTTTTAAATTTTTATTTAAACTTAAAAAGCTAACGATGAAATTTACATCCTAAATCTTTTGTAGCTTAAAAATTTCAATAACGTTCTTGCACAGCAAGTTATCCAAAAGTTTATTTAAGAGCTCCTGCATAAACTAAAACCGGCAAAAATGCCGTTTATAGGCTACAGTTAAAAAAATACCCCAAAAAGGTGCCAAGCACAATTTTGAGGTTAGATTCCTTCCACAATTCTATACTACAGTGTAGTTATTGTTCTATTCCGTTTTACTACATCCAAAGAAAAGCCCTACACCACACAAAATTTGGAACAATCCCCAACATTGACAAAATTTTTGGATTTAAAAAGAATTATACTGGATTGAAGTATAAAACTAGCACTATAAGCGCCAAGCAAAACAAAATCTCGCGGCAATGGCTAACCTCTTACTTAATTACTTTAGAGTTTGGGGGACATGCCAGTCTCATACTACGTTAAGTAGCATAGGCTGCACTCAACGTGTTAAAAAATACTATCCTGGGCTATGCCCCAGTGAATTAGTTTTTTTAGAAATATAACTCTAAAAAACTATAATATGCTCAATGTGTGGATGGTACAACTTGTTATCATTTAACATTATGTAATCTGATATTCATGCAACATAAATCAAATGTAATGTCAGTATTTTACATTCATAACAGAAAGATTATAGTGTTTTAAATTCCCTTGAAAATTCAACAAGATTAATGATCACTTTAAATTATTAAATTTCAATTGCTTGAACGTGAGTTTCAGACACAGTACTGTACTCCTATTAGGAGCTGAATGCATAGGAAAAAACATTCAAGATACTTTTGCTTGTGTTAACAGCCATGGCAATTTGTCATCTGCAAATCACATCTCCTTCAATTGTGTTTTAAACTGCCAAACTGCCTGAAAATAAAAATTGGTAAATAAGTAAAAGTTGGTTGTCGTGAGATTAAGAATGTCGAACAGATTATCATGGTTTTTACCGAATCTTTTACCAAGAAGAACTGGTAAAATGAGAACCTCTTTTTCAGTACAATATACAACTAAGGTATTACTAACTTAACTCCTAATTTTATTTTTATTTCCTAAGCTGACTAACATTTTATAGGTGTGATCAATTTATTCCAAATCACAAGATAAAAATACAACTTAAATGAATAATTACTACCGTACTACTTCTACGACTTCCTCTAACTGTAACAGTATATTGTTATCTTTTCTTAAATGTTTGTCAAGAACCATAAAGTTCAAATATGTATTTTGTGACTTAGCAAGTGTACCCCAACGATTTCCTTTTAGCGAATTTCCCTATAGGGAAGTTTATTATTTTGAATCTTTGAGCTATTACTGTAGGTGGCATGGTAAGACCTAGGCCCGGGACCGATTTACTTTTTCATTTTGATGTCCCCAGAGGCCAAACTTCAACCTGGAGGCGAGTTAGCGAAGCGAACGAGCTAAACTGAAGGCAAGTGAGCGCAGCGAACGAGCTCCAACCTAAAGGTGAGTGAGCGTAGCGAACGAGCTCCAACCTAAAGGTGAGTGAGCGTAGCGAACAAACTTCAACAAGGACGTGATTGAGCCATGCGAACGAGATAATCTTGAAAATTAAGAAGTTAAACGGGGCAAAGCCCGTGGGTTACAGCTAGTATATATATAGATTTATATATTATATAATATATGTGTGTGTGTGTCCGTGAACGTGATAACTTGAGTAATTTTTGTCCGATTTTGATGAAATTTTGTTTAAAGGTGTAAAGCAGGATAAACTTGAATGAGTTCGCAAACCAGCATGATCGTACTATGGGAACGGGGGTTTGGGGGGTTTTATGGGGTAAAAATAGGTTTTTCCCATTTTTGACCCTAAAAACACAAAATTTCACAATTTCTTTCCAAACCATTATGTAGAGCTTAAAGAAACAAATAATTTAGTATATTGAAGCGTTATTATGCGCCTAAGGGTTACGGGGAAAATTCAAAAGAATTGTAATTTTTAAATTCCCATGTTCTTATGGAGAATAAGTCAACTGTTGTAGTTTGCTTGTTTATGAACATATTTTGATCAAATTTGGAAAATACATTAATTTCTTACTAAACTACAGTACCTATTAACATTTTACATTAAAAAAACACTTTTTTCCCTGTCGCAGCAAACCTAAGTACTCGTTAAACTAATTTGATTTAAATAAGGAATAATAATGTGATATTTTTAAGGAGACATTTTAGTGTAAATCCAATCAGGCAAATAGAAATTCGCTAAGTCTGCAGGTTTGCTTCGGTAGGGGTATTTTTTATTTTGATGTCCTCAGAGACAAAAAACACTATTCGTTCGGATGGTTTTATATGTATATACAGGGTATCCGAAAAAGAATGCCAGAATTTTTAACATCCATCGCTTGGGTGCTAACTAATAAAGTTATAATTTTCTAAAGCAAAAACAATCAGATTTTGATGAAATTTTGTATAAACATGTAAAACTGCGTCTATTGAAACAAGTTCCCCAGCCATCATGATCAGACTATGGGAAATTAAGAGGGGTTTTATCGAGTAAAACATTGTTTTTCCTATTTTGACCCTAAAAACATAAAATGTTGCAATTTCTTTCGAAACCATTTTGTAAAGCTAAAAAAAACAAATAATTTAGTATATTAAAATAAATAATTTAGTGTTTTCATGTGTTTAATGGCTATGGAGAAAATAAAAATAAATTGTTAACACTTCCATCTTATTCTTATGGAGAATAAATAGGCCTAAACATTTTGCTTGTTTATGAACATATTTTGATCAAATTTGGAAAATGTATTTTTTAAACGAACATTTCACCAAAAAACACTTCATTACCTTTCCTGTAGCAGCAAACCTAAGTACTCCTTAAACTAATTTTATTCAAATGGGGAATAAATATGACATTTTAGTGAAAATCCAATCAGGTCCAAATGGAAATTCACTTAGTCTGCTGGTTTTCTGTGGCGGGGGTATATTTTTCTTTTCTGTTTGCTTGGATTAAGTACCAACAGTTATTATGACAATTTCAATGAATTTCTGTACTTCCTCTTTAAGTCAAGTAATTACTTCATATTTCTAATCTCCTTGTTTCAGAATTGGACGTAAACCCCAGCAAAACACAAGAAAAATAGAGTCTAAGATTTTTTCACAATGTAAATAATTATTGTACATTACCTTGCTGTATAAATAAACTTATTACTTTTTATATCACAACTGGTTTTTTTTTACAAACTTATTCTTTTTACATAATGATTTTACTATAATCCCTTCACCCTTCACCCTTCACCTACAACTGGTTTTTTTTTTAATCTAGCCTTTTCAATTCAACCTGATGACGTTGTCCTGTAATCCAGGTCACGAATTGTGGATATTTATAGGCATGCACTGTGGATGCGATGCTCCCTGGTGTGGATTAATGTCCGCTGTACTATCCTGATGATTAGACCAATTTGTTAATTACAAGGAAAAAATGTTGTTTGGATTCTACTATAAACTGCAGGTTCCTTACTTAGTTGCCATCGGCTGTATGAGCTAAACAGCTGTGTCTAAGGAACATGTCAGCATTAGCAGGGGTGCCCATCCCCCCCTAGACTCATGACGCACCCCCCCCCCCCCCAATTGAGCAACAGCCCCCCCACCATAAATAATGAGGTACACAACAAATGAGAAACATTATTCCCTGCCTGGGCATTATTTGTAAAACTAAAAGAAGTTTTATAATTTTTTTTTTAATATTGAAAATTTAAACCCAGTTAATCTATTTAAATAAAGTTATATTTTTTGTCTGTACATTTCTCAGAATTATACATATTTTTACGTTTTATACATTGAAGAAGTTTAAACAAGTGTTATCATCTCAATTTATGTCCGTCTGTCACGGCTCAGAAGGCATTTTAGGTAGCCTACTCTGACTAAAACTATAGAGTACCGATTATGATTCTAATGGTTTAATTGTATTCACAGGATTGGCGAGAGTGTCTTTAGCCATTAATATATGGCCTCACTATTTTGGATATAAAATAACGGACGATCAAAAACCCAATTTTGTGTGATTTTTCAAGTTTTTTTTCCATGTTTACTACATAGACGTCATTTATGAAATACTAATAATCTGTTGAGAGAACACGTCGAGATTACGAACAGCTGTTTTGATAAAGATTCCTTTTTCTAGCTTTCACTGCGCTGATATGTTTACATAAATGTTGTTTACGAATACTGTGTAGGCCCTAACCATTTCCGATCCCGTTTGTAACCATTTCCGATCACATTTGTAAGCAAATCAAAAACCAAGTGAGATTAATAACCGTGTGTCTTTGGCTTAAATAACGGGTTTGATTTATCACGGGTACTAATATGTAACTCTGAATTAAATTAAATAACTAGCCATCATCCAGGTCTCGGAACCAGAGATTCTGTGTGTATCAAGTTGTACTTGAATTTTGATTACCGGGAAAAGTCTGTGAATCAGTTTTGTACAGGACTGGAAAACTCATCTATATAAATAAAATTACAGTAGAGTTTTATAAGTCACCTCAATTTAAGGAATTTTTTATTTCAAGAATATCTATATAGCGTTCGTAATCTCTGCTTATCGAATTATCAGCGTCTTTCTCTTGATATAACAACCCCATCTCCCTTTGGAAACATCACAGCTCCTTTGATGAAAATGAAATGGAAACAACGCTTGCACCAACAATCGTCTGCTCCGTTTTACACTTTTGTCTGCTGTGCGCTATATGTTACAACAGATTTCAGATACAACAGCTGGGGAATGATGACGATATAGCTCAGTAAACTGTGACAGTAACTTTAGTCAGGCTGTTATTGGGCAATGAGTAGGCTTAAATATGGTGACTTGTTGAATTTGTGTATAAATTGAAAAGAAACCTAATAACAGAAGAACTAAGAAAAAGAATAACAAGATTGTTCTTGTTACATTCTTTTACAAGAGTGTTTTTATTATCTCTAAATATAATTTTACACTTTTTTATTACAGTACTTATCTTTCAATTCCTATGCTGTGATACAGCACCTACCGGTAGCCTATCATGAGCAGTAGCTTATAACACTTTCTAAGGTTTAATATTTACGTTATTTATAGCAATGCAGTGTTTGGCTGGTTATAAATAGAGTTTGAGTGAGCTATAATTTTAAACGTTGCCGTTTGTACAACTGAACCAAGATAAATGATTTGAAATGTCATTATTGCACAATAATAATGATTTTGCAATATTGAATTTCGTTTGTAAAAATGCAAATCGTGACGTTAATGGCTGTTTTCATGGGTTTGTCATCTGTTTTTATATACTACATATATTGGAATAACCATATTTTTGATTACCCCCCCCCCCTCCCTATTAACTCAGGTAATCAAGTATTTACACAATAGTGTAGAGTATTGTAGCCTATGCTACTTGATTTTATTTTAACGAGCTTTGTGTCAACAAAGCGTCCTGTGCTGAGTCGCGGTGTAGCTAGACGTGTCAGTACCGCGCGTTTAACTCAGCAGTTGAGCCATCCTGGAAATTTGGAGTTGGTGAATATTTCTGTTTATTCAAATATTTTACTATTGGAGTTGCTGAAGTTTGGAGTTCGTGAAATGTTCTCATTTAAAAATGACCGTGAAATAATTCATTTTGGAAGGAATTGTGATTTTGTTTTTAATGGGTACCTACCCAGGCTTCTCAAAGAAGACTACAAAGGAATAGGTGTCACAGCCATGTTTACACACCATAGCACATTTCTGCACTTTACCCTCACTTCGTTACATTAGGGCCGTAACACATGGGACTAATTTACGTTTTCCTTTTGATGTCCCCAGAGGTCAAAAGATAATTCATTCTTTATACTTTGTAAAAACGATATGCAATTTAGCATGAAGGTGTAGGGTGGCATAAACTTAAATGAATTCGCGAACCAGCAAGATCAATTTATAAAAACAATGGTGTTTTTAAATTTTCAACATTTGGTTTTTTTCATATTATTACGCTTGAAACATAAAAATGCCAAATTTTCATTACAGCCATCATTGAAATGATCGTGTATGCAGCCATCGTGCGTCGTGTGTATTAGTCTCAATCAGCCTAAAATTTTTTTTTTTAATAATCACAGCAAACGATTACTGTATTTAATCTTTCTTAAATTTATTTTATGTTAATCCAAAATTTATCTCTAATGTTTGAGGACATGCAATAGATTGAATGTTTGAAATATTTTATTATTTTTGGCCATAATCAATAGTTCAAAGTGTTTGAATTATAGTTATAGTTATATTCTAAAGTGTGCATATTAACACAATCATAAAAGAAAAATAATTAAATACCGGTGCGTCAGTAAAGAGGTGTTTAAAACAAACCAATTTGAATGAAATTTTCTATATATCCTAACCTAACCTAACCTAACTAACCGAATGAAATAATCGTTAGCCTATATCGAATAGTTGATATATCGATCGATATTTTTACTAGTTTTTTTTTTTTTGTCCTGCTTATGAAAGTCTACCCGTTTTATGTTTTGTTGGAGGCGTAAGCAACAGAAAATACTTGGAAATATCTGTATTGCACGATAGTTGAATCCTCCTCACTTTGGTTTCCACTCATGACTCATCACTGCCACTCCTTGCATATTATGTTGCTACGTGTCCTGCCTTACCTTTATTCGTAGGCTAATTTATTTGTTAGCCTATGTAATTTTTTCATCGGGCTAATATCACACCCTTTATCAGTGAAATAAGCAAAAAAAAAACCAAGTGGCAGAGAGTTTAGAAAGAGGACGGCAAAACTATTTTGGACAGTGAAAAAGCGTTACAAAAAATTCCTAAAATAAATAGCTTACAATATCATTAAAAACCATTTATGCCTATAGGATGACCTAATGATCATGTGTACCGGAAAGTGATGTTACCCTAAAAATGAACTTTGATGATGTTATTGACGAGTTTGCAAAAAAATTTAGAAAAAGATCAGTTATTTCAGGTGTTAGCTGTTAATAGTCTTAAATATTTGCAGTTTATATCGACCAATCAGTCTACTTCCAATAATACCAAATTGTTTGAAGAGGCTCTTTTTTTAATAGTCTGGGCCTACTTTAAGAAGTGGAGGAAAGAAACTTGATTCCAAATCATCAGTTCTGCTTACTGCGGGACATTCTACAGTTGAACATAGATTGCTTAAATACAATTAAAGAAGACCTCGAGAAAAAGAACTATTGTACAGTTGTTTTATCGATGCAAGTCAAGCCTTTGACAAAGTGTGGTACATTGGCCTACTTTATAAACCAAAACAAAATATTCCTCAAAAATTTTATATGACAAACAAATCATACTTAACTAACAGATATTTCAGAGTTAAATTTTGAGATAACGTTACAAAATTGTACTCAATTCAAGCTGGTGTTACCCAAGGAAGTGTTCTAGCTGTACTATTTACGCATTTACAGCTGATGTACCAGAAAATGCTAATACCACTGTGAGTGGCCATACTGCTATTTTAGCACCTTATTTAACATTGCACGTTAAATTTAAATATTTAAATTTAACTTGTCCGTTTAAGTTAAATAAGCACGTTATAAGCCTTAAATAAGTTAAAAAGTTATTAGACCACCATTCTCAAATAAGCAAAGTTTTTTTTTTAAATAGCGTTTTAAAATAATATTGTCCTCATAATAGTACAAATATTTTCTTTTACAAAGTAGGTACACAAGGAATCGCCTCCACTTGGACCACTTGTTATGGGTTTCCCGAATCCCCAATGAAGAATCTAGCGTTTTTTTGGGGGACATGAAATTTTCTGCTAGGATAGATTAAATTTGATTTGAAGTAGACTAACTTAATGCTCAAGATAGTTTATTTTGATACTAAAGCCAGTTCTAAAATATTTAGGCCTATCAATCATTGAGATGGAGACACCTCCTAGATGTGTACTTTAACCCAAATATGAGTGAAGGATGAGTGTAGAATGGTGTGAGATGGACCTGTGTAACTTAGTTACTGGCTAAGATCAGCTGTTTCATTAGACAGGATCATTTATTTAAAGCCCGATGATTAGGGACAGCTGGGTCCAGTTTTGAACCATCAAAAACCTAATACAGAGAAAAACTGTCCTTGTAGCACCTTATGAGTCTACCTTATGATCTATAGTGAGCCAAACTAGTTGCCATGGCAACCAATTGGATTGCGGTACTCCCTGGGTGGATTAACATCCGCACGAGTGAGTACTATGACTATCCGCAGTACTATCCTGATAATTAGACCAATTCGTATATACCAAGCCAAAAATGTGGTTCAGATTCAACTATAAACTGTAGGTCCCTTAGTTGCCATTAGCTGTAGGCCTATGGGCTATTAATTAACAGCTGTGTCTAAGGAATGTCGGCCTTAGTCACTAACAAGACTACAAGATCGCGCCACTCATCCTACACTCATCTCCATTCATACTTGGCTTAAAATACCTACTTTGTAAGGTCGCCATTTCATTGAAAAGTATTAAAGTACCGGTACCTTTTAAGATTACAGGTACTCAAACCAATGAAACCAATGAACCCTTTAAGAAGCACAATGCCTTTGTTAATAATTTAGTCTGGGAATATTTGAATTTCGGATAGATCCCGCCGCGGCCGCTAGGTAGACTATCGTAATCCTGCAGCCAAGTTAGCTGACCGAGTGAGACAAAGAATCGGACGGCTGCTGCACGAATCTCATTTCAGCGGCAAAATTCCAGTCAGGCTATTCTCCATAAGCTGAAACATTTCACTTCCTAAAGGGTTTGTATTCATTGCTCAAACCACTTGAGTAGACTTTTGACTATTGATAGAACAAGATAATTACATCCCCATGTTAAAGTTGTCACCAGTCAGTTTTTAAATCAAAATGGACATAGTTTAGCCACCAAAAGATCATACTGATTTAAATTACTAATGTCTGTTAAATATGCAGACTTTTTAACCAAGTAAACTTATGACTTTTTGTAAGCTATAGCATCTTACATACCAAATATAAACTCTTAACTTAGTATTTAACTGACAACAAATTAGGTAGAAGAAAATAGAATTTTAGAGCAATCTGCTAATAAAAAATAGACAACATCTAAAACTTAATCCATAGGGTAGGCTATAGATAGAACGTCTACTTCATTATTCAAAAGTCAATAGTTAGAGTAAACCTTTCTTATTGTCAACTGTAGGTATAAGATTTCCTACTCTATCTTAATTATCGGTTGTAGCAATCAATAACTTAACTTAAACAAGTGAAGTTAGAAGTTTGGTGTTCAGCTAGCAATTGAATAGACTGAGGCATGTATGTTCGATAATATTATTAAGTGGGGTATTAGTGTTGCCGAAGCTTCAAATAAAATTCTCATTTTATCTAATGAAATACATCTTTATTGATGATTTAGGTAGTTTTTTAAGTCATACACACCCTACATTATGCCTACTTATCTTTAATACACTACAGATAAGTATCAACAATATGTCCAGTTATCCTAATACGAGAAGTCAACGATTAACAATTTACCTACAATCTTAGCCTATGGTCCTTTGTATGGCAATGAGCAACTCCAATAATCTGGCGGAGGTGAGATACGTATTAATTTTCTTAATGGTCTTCGTTCAATTTCACTTTGGGAAACTGTATCGCATTCCAGTTCTTTGAAATAACGGCAAGGACGTGGACCAACTCCAGGGATATCTGTGTTATAAGATGGAGATAAAACATCTAAAAATGCAGCTGGTCCATTAACACTATGGATCTCATGTAAGTTGCCAACAAGAGGGGACAAAACACAAGCACTGTCTTTTTCACCTATCAATGATGCTGGTTCCTTCTTAGCAAGTAAAACCACTGGCCTATACAGTGTATCTTTGGTCAATCCAACTTCACTAGGATGCAAATCAGATTTAGATGCACTCAGTGTTTCTTGTTCTCTAACGTCTGGATTTGTTAGTATAGAATAGCTTTGAATGTGCACAGTGCCACGAATTACTTTTAAAATTCCATACATCAATGGATGGTCATGAAGAGGAAGTCTAGCACCTTTTTTCAAAACAAATACACCAATGGACAGGTTAGGATCGTCATGAATGTTTATGTACGCGACTGGCGCATTTGCATCTTCTGAACAATCACTTGATAAACATTCATCTAAATTGACGTCATCACTGGTTACCTTATTCATTAAACCTGTAAGTTTAGACAGATTATCCTCAAAATTAGATGATATTCCTCCAGCAAGTTTAGTGAAAGTCGCTATTGCTTGCCGTTTCACTACTTCGATTAGAGATGATCCAGCCATAGTTTGTGGCACGAATATTAGTGGTCTGTGGTGTCACAATAATCCTACGATCTTCAGAGTGAAAGAACAGCTAACTATCTAACAGACTATTGCTAATAAAACTACTCTGTAAAATTTAATAAACAATAAAATTTTGCTATGCGAGACATGATATGTCCAGTGTCCAATCCACTACTTTACTTAGCATAAAGACTTGACTTTTGACAAGTGAAGTGACAAGTGAGTGAAGGAGAAGAAGTAGCTTGTCTTGTCCTTCTTCTTCCTTACGTGCAGCTGTAAGTGTGAAAACTGCTGTGCTGGGGCACGGCCAGTGAGCTATAACTATTATATCCATTTATTTCAAAGGGCACGGCCACTTAAGAGTCTTCCTTAGTGGAAGCCATGTTGGATTTCTTCCCCATAAGAACAATGTTAAACATTACATCATTTGTGGACACGTAACGGCGTTATTTGTTAAGATATAGCTTTGAAATTTATAATTTGTATTTTTAACATAATAGACTCGTGACTGAGGTTTTTGAATTTCGAAAATCCGTTTTCATTTCCTTTCAATAATTAGCTTAATTTTAAGCTAATTAATAATCAATTATTCATTATAAAAATTAAAAATTGTGAAATAAAAAACGTCAATTCCTTAAATTTAACTCCTTATCCATAATTATATGACAATTTGCTGATGAGATATTTGGACCCAAAGTTAACATTGTTCTTATGGGGAAGAAATCCAACATGGCTTCCACTAAGGAAGACTCTTAAGGGTGACCGTGGCTGGGGTTGGAAACTTTTTTCCATTGTCTGCTGAGCATTGAAAAGATACTGGTGGTATTATTCTTTTTTATTATCTGATAAAATTGTGTGTATATTAAATGGTTTGTGAGAGTATGTATGAGTGTGTGAGTTTTATTTATTATAACTTATGTTGCTAAAATATTGACTACAGCTGTTTCGTGTTTAAATTAACACATCTTCAGGTCAACATGTTGCATTGGTTTATTCCATAGAATGGTCGTCATAAGGTTTAAAGTTCACAGAAATAACACATACACGTACACGGAACATTTAACATTAATTGGCCAAAACAAAAATACTTTTTAAAGACATGTTTTTTTAATTCAAAATACAAAATTCGTACAGTTTTCAAAAGTAAAGATACAATTCGTAGCCGTCTCACCAAACTAAAACCTGAAAATGAACAACAAAACACAAAAAATATTGTCTATAAAATTCCTTGTTCATGTGGTAGAAACTACTATACGTAGGGCAAACGTCAAGGCCAGTGACGGTGAGGATTAATGAACACATTAAAAAGGTTAAAAATAAAGATAGGTATGGCTCGAGAATCTGTGAACATGCATTAGAGACAAATCATACAGTAAAATGGGATTCCAGCAAAATTCTATACAAAGAACCGGATTGGAGGAAACGGAACATGGCAGAGTCGCTATTTATGGCTATTGAAGACGAGCCTCTATCACGACCATCGGTGGATATTAGTACTGTTTATTTACAAGTAATTAAAGAAGAACTAGAACAGCTGAGGGACAATGCCAAGGATGTCAAAGGCTTATCTACAATAACCAGTATGTCCACCGACCCCCCTGCCCTCCCACCCTCCACAGGAACAGCTGATGCGGCACCGGCAGTCGTGGTTAGGCGTTCGGGCTCGGGGGGCCACCAGTTGACCGACAAGATACTTGGTCGTCTTGCCACTAGACCGTCTTTTTTAATTAAATAGATAAATACTGAAAACCAGTACGTCGACAAGTTATTTCATCGTCAGTCCAGTTGACCGGCCTGTAAATCTAAATTATTATATACGAGAAACCAACTTGTCGTCAATCCTCCCGACCGACTTACCACTTGCTCGTCTTTTAGGTGGGGATGTGTTGAGCGGCAGTGCCAGCGGCGCGCGCAGCTGTGGAGGGCACTGCAGGCGTACCAACTTCTGTATCTTGTAGCGGCGGTTTTCATTCCGACGATTTTCAGCTATCACAATGCAGCGGACTAGCGACGTTCTTATTACGTGTAATTGTTTGTTTCTCAATCGATATTTTGTTATACACAGTACAGTGAATATAAATAGGCCTATATTAGTTTACTTCAATGAAATAAATGTTTTATTTAGCTAAATAAATAAAAATACGCCGATTGAACAAATAAAATTGTTACAGACAACAGGAAGTCCTTAATATGATCAAAAAAGTGTTTATCTTTATTAAAAAATTACTGAAATTTGTAAACTTACTGCTGGTGACAAGGGTGGTGCCATACATAGGTTTATCAATAAATAAGATAAACATGGACAACCTTATGCAGCTATAAGTCAGGAAACATTTGTAGAAACATTAAAAAGCAATACCAATTTATGAAATATGATAAAATATTTACAGGAAATGTTGATTACTGTATATACATCGTGAGTATCTCCAGCAGTTACACACTGGTGATCTTTGAGTTGACTCTTTTAAACTCATTGATTATTACTTTTTTTCGTTTTGAAATAAATTCTGTATTACTTTGAAATTGCTCGAATTCGAGCAACATGTACACGAGTTTGAATATTAAATTAACTAACATATTTATGTAATAGGAGGGTCAAATATTGTTAACAGTGGTGAGGTAACTACCGTTACATTTATTCAATTGAGAGATAAATACAAATTGATAATACCGGTTATTTAAAGCTTTGTTGTCTATTTTTCCCTCTCTTAAAAAATAAAATAGAGAATGAATTTAGACTTTTGGTGACATTAGTTTGTACTATTTCTCCTTAAATGACACTGCTGTCTTGGTAAGCAATAGTTATCTCGGTAAACTATTTATTTGCTGAAGTGCACAGTGTGCTACTTAGCCTGAGAAACATCTTTTGTTTTATGATTTTGTTGTAGGCCTATTGAAAACCTTGTCTAGAAGGAATTCCCATTGCCTGTGTTACCGGGGAGAAGTTTTTCTTAGTAAAGTCTGTAGACGTCTTCGGTTTTACACAGAAACATGTAATTATAATTGAAGAAGTACATGTTTTATCCTCTCACGTTGTTGCGTGGACAATGCTATGGTGATTCAATTCTGTGTACTTCAATTGTCTAACTGGCCCTAATTGACGCATCCTTGTTTTTTTTTTTACTAAATAATGTAGTCTTTACTTCCGTGGATCTTTGCGTTTTATTGTTTAACTGTCCTCAAGTAAGTCTGTGTTCTGAGTAAGTACTTCAAATGCACGGCACTACTGTATATTCAGATTTTCTAATGAACTAGCCTATCATAGATAAAAGAAGTATAGACATGTATATATGACAGAGTATGTCTACTCCTTTTATCTATGGTACTATTTCCAAGTTCATCTGGACGACCCTGCAAATCGTTTCTATTAAAAAAAAATTGTATTTGGTTTATGTTTATGAACTTGTATGAGTGTTGTTAACTAAAGCTAAATTCACATCAAATTAATTAATTTAATTTATTTTAATAGTATTTCTAATTAATTTCAGTTTTAAGAACATATAGTAAATAAATCCTTGTTGAAATGGCTGTACTATCCATGCAATTATTGTCAAACTATATGTTCAAAGATTCCTGGACGGCAATGTTATAATACTAGTTGGAGCAGAGGTACTGGATCTAGGGTTAATACAGTTTTGTGACGTGTAAGGTATATCACTGCAGAAGTAGTTAGCTCAAGAATTATGACGCGGATGACAAAGATTGGTAGCTTTTGCTATAATTATAAAAAAAACCAAGTACATAAAATCATTCACAGTTTTTTTTTTTCACAGTCTATTGAATAGCCTGCAGTTAAGTTCACTCTAATGAAGAATATAGACGTGGCCAGAGTTCCAAACGATTTAAGCAACAACTGTTTACATGAACTATCCTATATGTAAGTTTTTTTTTTAGTGTGCAATGTACTTATTGAATTTTCATTAGTAATATATCATGGCTATATCGTTTATGTAAAAGTATCAAAAGATAGTAAAACGAAAACGAAACAATCAACCAAGACCAGTGACCGAAACAAGTGTCGAGCTGGCGGCGCCGCGCCTACCTCGGGATTCCCCGAGGGCAATAATTCATCTTTGAAGTAACACCGGTAACACTGACTCACTGGCCGACACGGATACCCGCCTACCACCCCCTTTGTGTCGCCACCCTATGACCACCGGTCGGTCGGCCACCCATCCAAGGAAACTCTAGACATCGGCGGCTCTTTGTCGTTCGTTGACCAGCGTATTTTCTAGAGTTGAATGTATACCCTCACTCACACCAGGGAATAAGTAAACTGTAGTAGTTTTCTTGTTTATGAAAATATTTGCATTAAATTAGAAAAAATCATTTATTTATTTATAAAATGTTATTAATTTTACAAAAAAAAAACACACTTTTACCCTCCCTGTTGCAGCAAACCTAAGTACTTGTTAAACTTATTCTATTTAAATATGGAATAACTGTGATATTTTCAAAAAGTCATTTTAGTGTAAATCCAATCAGGCAAATAGAAATTTGCTTAGTCTGCAGGTTTGTTGCGGTGGGGGTATATTTCGTCATAAACTCTTTTGCCACTTAAGAAACTTCAATAGTAAAGTGGCAACTAAAACGCGACTCCAGCGACCCAATTCTGGCGGCGCTCTAGAACTACCTGAAGGCCTTTTCCGGTATTACGCGTGCCGCATCACACAAGTAGTTTTCCCGCGCCCCTATTCAAACGCTTGTAGGCGAAGAAAAAGAAAGCGAGTTGACGACCGAGGCTAGGTCGACCCGATCGACTTCGACAGCTGTTTTACTGTCTCTCTCCCTCTCTCTCTCTCTGTCTTTGGATGTGTAGGGTTGGCGAGGGTTGTAAAATTGCTGAAAGTGAAAGGGACGTGGCTGGCGCTACGTTCCTAGTTTTTGGCCTCTTGATGCTAACACTGGGTCGGCTACTCGAGATCAAACAACAGCGTGTGTTTAGTACAAAATTGGGTCCACAGTCACATCTATCTATCTATATATTAATAGGCAAGCATGTTTCTTTAAAACCTTTTTTCTCAGCTCGTGTGCATCACAGGGGAAATCTACGCATACTGTTAGAAAGATATTTGTCCGTAGATGTGCAGAATCCCTTTATAAATTAAAATAGGCTAAAAAATAAGCACGAAAAACGAATTTGAAAACTTCAAAAAATTAACATGGGCCAACTGGGTTGCCATGATGGTGACGAAATAACAACAAAATGTACACGGAA